GTTTCAGCGGCCTGAAGGATGAGGTAGTGGCGGAGTCGGGCGATGTTACGGAGGTGAGGGAAAGCAGAGCGGGTCATGGCTTGGATGAGGGGAAGAAAAGACAGTTGAGGGTCGAACAAGACACCAGGCTTAGTGAGTTGAAGTGTGCAACCATGGAGGTAGATGCTGCCAGAGCCTGAGGTGCAGAGGCGCTGACGCAAGCCAATCAGGAGGGCCTCAGTCTTGTTCACGTTCAACTGTAGGAAATTTTCCCTTATCCAGGACTTGATGTCCGACAGGCAGTCTGTCAGGACAGCAGTGGTACTGGAGTTGAGGGTGGAGGCAGAAAGAGAGTTGGGTGTCATCCACATACATATGGAAGTTGACCCTATGTCTGCAGATAATGTCACCAAGGGGGGTGTAGATATTAAAGAGGAGAGGGCCAAGGACAGAGCCCTGGGGGACACCAGACGTGACAGTGCGGGGGCTGGAGGAGAAACTGTTAGAGGCAGTTAAGTGGAGACGGTGAGAGAGATAGGATTTGATCCAGGCAAGGGGAGGGCCGCAAAGATTAAGTAAGGAGAAGAGGCGGTGTATGAGGATGGAGTAGTCGACAATGTCGAAGGCGGCAGAGAGGTTGAGGAGGACAAGGAGGCAGAGGGAGCCCCGATCACAGATGTTCAGAATGTCATTCGAGACTTTGACCAGGGCTGTTTCCATGCTGCGGGCAGCGCGGAAGCGGGATTGGAGGGGTTCAAAGAGGGAATGGTGAGAAAGAAAGGAGCGGAGCTGGGATGCAACAACTCATTCCAGGACTTTGGAGAGGAATGGGAGGTTAGAGATGGGGTGGTGGAGAAGAGGGGTGGGTCCAGGGAAGGTTTTTTCAGGTTAAGGGTGATAACAGCTATTTTTAGGGGGAGTGGAACTGAACCAGTTGGACAAGAAGAGGTTGATGATGTCGGACAGGAGAGGGGCCAGAAGGTGGAGCTGGGAGATGAGGAGAGAGGTGGGGATGGGATCGAGGGAGCAGGTGGGTTTGAGTTTGCGAACAATGGTGGTGAGGGAGGAGAGAGAGATAGGGTCGAAGGAGTATGGGTGGGGGTTGGGTCATGAGGGAGAGGTGATGTGGGTTGAGAAGGGGGAAGGGGTATTGAGATGTTGAGGGAGATGAAGTGGTGGTCCAAAATGGCTTTGTCGATGATGGTGATGTCCGAGACGATGAGGCCCCGGGTGATCACCAGATCAAGGGGGTGGCCATGGTCGTGGGTGGGGGGGTGGATGTGGAGGGAGAGTTTAAGGGAAGAGAGCAGGAAGGAGAAGTCAGCAGAGGTAGAGTAGGAAGGGGTGAAGTGGAGGTTGTGGTCGCCTAAGATAAGGAGGTATTCAGAGCAGAGGGAGAGGGAAGATAGGGGGGTCCAGCTTGGGAACTATGTTAATTACACCATCGAGCTTGCTTACAAGGTACAAAACTTAAAACCTGAGTGACTTGCCCTACAAATTTTCTTTCCAATTTCCCTCATATACACCGCGGACTGTGCCTGCTCACGGTGCAGTTAGACAGGTCTAGTGAGGAATTTCAAGTTTGAGTCTGTAACCCTCAAAGCAGTTACACAGCATATTGCTGGATCACAACTACTTATTATTTCTAACTTATTATTGTGTTTTTTTTAAACTAACCAAACAATCTCTTCCCTTCCCCCTTTGTGGTGTCCTGCCTATAAGAAGAAATCTACTTAGAAATGTATTAATTAACCTGGGATTTCTCCAATCTCGCTATCCATCTATATAACCCAGGTTCAATAACCCAAGAACGAAACCTTGGGCGAGTTTCCTTACGCCACACACCTCCGTTTACCTAGCAGTAAGTAGGAAGCTGGTTGTTAGTTGATTTCCACCCTCATAAATAATCCTTCAAAGAACGATTTGTTCACTCAATCCACGATTGTTTGTGGGACACCGCTGTGTGCAATTGGATGTTGTCTTTTGCCTACAAAATACATAGTCAATCCACTTTACAATATATTCTGTGAAGTGCTTTGAGATGTCCCAACAACGAAATAAGGACTCATATCAAATGCAAGGATTATTATTATTGTAATATAAAATACAGTAATACTCAACCAAATAGTAATAATTAATCAAGTAGACATGCAGGTTAGTTTGACTTGCACTTGGACCAACTGCTGGAGGTGAGCAAGAGCAGAGTGGGATAGACTTGTTTATTTTCTTTGTCTCCTTCCTTTATTTGCTCTGAACATCCCAGACAGCCTGATTGATTTCAAACACCTCACCTGGGGGCCAGGCTAAGTGCAATGTTTCCTGCAGTTGCAAGTTTTTATTTGACTTCTAAGCACCTGATTTCTTAACCATTTCTCCTGTATTGGGTGCAGTTTCCAAAGTTTCCATCTGACTTTTTGCTCAAAGGGGGTTTCAGGATAAGATTATCCCAGTCCAAGTTGGTAACATTATAGATTACAATTCAATAGAAATAAAGGGAGGTCCCCTTAATAATTTTGCCAGGAAGTTCAGAACCATTATGAAACTGAACCATATGTGTGCCAGGAAGTTTGCACGTTTAATCTGCATCATCTGTACTTAGTGCTGAGTTAGCAGATCTCAACCAGAGTGATGGCCTCAGCATCCTTGAGTAAGGAAAGGAAAAGCATCAACTTGTATTTATATAGGCTTTATTGGTAGGAATAACAGCTCTGATCACTTCACTCAATGTTTGGATGCCGGGCAAGGAGGAAGTTGCGGTGACCATAAACACTGTCAAAGAGGCAGGTATCAAGGTGGTGTTTGAAGATAGATAGAGAGGGGGCATTGGCAGAGGATTAGAGGCTGGGAGAGGCAAAATGACTGACTCTCGGCCACCAATTCTCATAGGGTGGGGGTGAAGAATTATTCAGCGGGACCTGTGTTAGCAGAGGGGGTGGGCAGAGAAGCGGGGTACAAGCAGATCAGAGAAATAGGAAGATGCTGGGACGTGAAGCGATTTGTATGTGTGAGTGAGCACCTTTTAAGTTGAAAGACGCGATCCAAATGTAATCTTGTTGTTGTTTAAGGTGATTCGTTTGGGGAACAGGGAGCCTGACGAGGATTGGGGTAATGGGTTTACGGAGTTTACACCATCTGATGCCACTGAGTAACAGGAACCCAGTAGTGACCCTTCCTAGTTAGAATGATTCACCCTCCTACTCCCAATCACCAGCTCGGGTGCGGATCCCGGACCGTCCAGCGCCTTGGGACGTCCTCCTGACGTGAAAGGCGCTCTACAGATGACATTTGTTGTTGTTGTTGTTTGAAACACTCCCAAACCAGACAGGGCTCCCATTCCAGGTCGCCACCTAGTGACCTCCGGTGGAAGGTGTGGATGTCAGAGGGGGTACTCCTTTGTGATGAAGCCCTGCGGTGGAATTGCCCATCAATCCTCCCCGAATCCACGCAAAAGGGCGAATAGCAACCAGCGCAAAGGACTGGAGGTGGCCACGCTCGTGGAACCGGGTTCCAGCCATGAGTCAGTACCATTGGGAGTGGAGAAACTTGGGGGAGGGAGGAGGGGAAGAACATTGAAGGAACTTTTTTTGGGGGGAAAAAAAACACCTTGACCAAATATTTGTTTTTTTTAACCTTTATTTATCAAAATTTTTTTTTTGGTTCCCCTGTGTGTGAATGAGTGAGTGAGTGAGTGAATGAGTGTGTGAGTGAATGAGTGAGTGTGTGAGTGAGTGAATGACTGAGTGTGTGAGTGAATGAGTGAGTGTGTGTGAATGAGTAAGTGAGTGAGTGAGTGTGTGAGTGAATGAGTGAGTGTGTGAGTGAATGAGTGAGTGTGTGAGTGTGTGTGAGTGGATGAGTGAGTGTGTGAGTGAGTGGATGAGTACGTGTGAGTGAGTGTGTGAGTGAGTGTGTGAGTGAATGAGTGAGTGAGTGTGTGAGTGAATGAGTGAGTGTGTGAGTGAATGAGTGTGTGTGTGAATGAGTGTGTGAGTGAATGAGTGTGTGTGTGAGTGTGTGAGTGAATGAGTGAGTGTGTGAGTGAGTGAATGAGTGAGTGTGTGAATGAATGAGTGAGTGTGTGACTGTGTGAGTGAGTCAGCTTTTACTTGGGAGTATTTGAATGGAGGGAAATGCCACCTAATCAGGGAGGGGACACTGGTCCCCACCTCACCCAAGTGACATGACAGGATGTGTTGCACACACACACACAGACACACACACACACACACACACACACAGATGTATATTAAAAAAAATTACCTCATTAATTCCAGAGACAGACATCTCTCTGGTTATTTCGAACGCTGGACTTCTGGAGGGGACCATCTCTGAGCGTCAGGAGCTCTGGTGAAACATTTCGCTCGGATTTCTTTTTTGCAGCCCACGATTTCTCAATTTAACTCGAACCACCACCACCACCACCGCGCGCGCAAAAAAAAAAAAAACCCCAAAAAAGAGAAATAAACACCCAAATATGGCAAACCCTGTGAGTGAGTGAGTGAGTGAGTAGAGTGAGTGTGTGTGTGTGTGTGTGTTTTTTTTTGGGGGGTGGGTGGGGGTGGGGGGGAGTGGGGGGTTTGTTTTAATGAGAGTGCAGTCACCTTTACGAGTCGTGCAAAAAAAAATATGCAATCGTGCAATTAAATTTAAATAGCAATACAATCCCAATCATTTTTTTTCTGGGGTGTGGGGGGGTGTGGGTGGGGGGGACATCCTGGTGAGACCCCCACCCACACCCCACACACACCCCTCACACACACACACACACACACACACAGGATAAGGTCCCACTGTTAAGCATTTGTACCCCCAATTATTATCCCCTCTCTCACTCCACCCCTCACCCCCTTTTGCTGCCGCTGTTGGGTGTTATATTGTTGAGCGAAGGGGATTTCCAGAGTCAGAGGAAGTGATATTGACTAAAAAAGGGGCTTTCCAAAGGCTATAGAGAGAGAGAGAGAGTCAGTCACTCACTCACTCACTCAACTCACTCGCTGCACCGAATGGGTCGGCGCTGGTGGTGGTGTTGGCGGCGGCGGCGGCGGCAGTGGCAGTAGCAGAAAAAAATGGGGCATTTTAACATTATGCAATCGACCCTTTTCTGTGCAAAGTGTTCAAAATGACAGCAATGAATCAGAGGTGCCTTTCCTTTTTTTTTTCCCGATTATTGTGTACATACCATATATATGTGTATACATGTGTGTGTGTGTGTGTGTGTATATATATATATATCTCTCTCTCTATTTTTTAAAAAATATATATCTATAAATCTTGTACCAGAGCCATAGCCGTTTTCCGGTCGCAACGCCGTCTGTGTGTGTGTGTGTGTGTGAGAGAGAGAGAGAGAGAGACACTCACCGACACCGACACAGAGTCGGGAGTGAGCGTCGGGTTTTGGAGAGACAGAAAGAGAGAGAGAGAGAGAGAGAAAGAGGGGAATTAAAGGCTGCAAAACCCAGTGGCCGATTGTTTTTATTTTGTTTGGGTGGTGTTGGGGAGGGGGGGCAGTGGGGAGGGGGGGCAGAGGGGGGAGGGGGCAGGGGGGAGGGGGGCAGTGGGGGAGAGGGGGGGCAGTGGGGGGAGGGCAGTGCAGGGGAGGGGGGCAGTGGGGGGGGAGAGGGGGCAGAGGGGGGCAGTGGGGGGGTTCGGGCTTTCGGATGAAGATCAGAGCCCAGAGTTTGGGGTCAGTCCATGTCATTGCAAACACAGAGACCGGACCTTGGGCGTTGCGCGGGGGGTCCCGGCCCTGTGGGGGGGGGGGTCCCGGCCCTGTGGGGGGGGGGGGGTCCCGGCCCTGTGGGGGGGGGTCCCGGCCCTGTGGGGGGTCCCGGCCCTGTGGGGGGGGGGGGGTCCCGGCCCTGTGGGGGGGGGGGGTCCCGGCCCTGTGGGGGGGGTCCCGGCCCTGTGGGGGGGGGGTCCCGGCCCTGTGGGGGGGGGGTCCCGGCCCTGTGGGGGGGGTCCCGGCCCTGTGGGGGGGTCCCGGCCCTGTGGGGGGGGGGGTCCGGCCCTGTGGGGGGGGGGGGGGGGTCCCGGCCCTGTGGGGGGGGGGGTCCCGGCCCTGTGGGGGGGGTCCCGGCCCTGTGGGGGGGGTCCCGGCCCTGTGGGGGGGGGGGGGTCACCGCTTCTCTCCTGTGTTCGGATAGGCGTTCATGGAGGGAGACTTCTGGGGTCCTACAGGATCGGGAGGCGGACTGTAGTGACTGTATATAACGTGCAATTCCAAAAGTGGGGGAAAGCCCCCACTCCCCCCCCCCCTCCCCTCCCCCCCCCCCCCCTCCCCTCCCCCTCAGCACAGGCTACAGAGTCCTCTTTGCTCTTTCTCTGCATTCAGTTTTTTTTTCAGCTTCAACCGTTTCAATTCACTTTTTTTTATTTGGTTTGTGTGTGTGTCTCTGTGTGTGTGTCTGTGTGTGTGTCTGTCTGTGTGTCTGTGTGTGTGTCTGTCTGTCTGTGTCTGTCTGTGTCTGTCTGTGTGTGTCTGTCTGTGTGTCTGTCTGTGTGTGTGTGTGTTTGTCTGTGTGTGTCTGTGTGTGTGTCTGTGTGTGTCTGTCTGTGTGTCTGTGTGTCTGTTTGTCTGTCTGTCTGATTTTTGGCCTTCAGGTTGTTACAGAACACCTTTGGCGCTTTCCCTGAGCATCACTCCACTCTGGTGACGAGTGAATGGTCACAAAAGGGTATTCCACACACATTTGGTTCTTGACGCTCAGTGCGACCGGACACACACACACACCGAGTGCTGTGAGCTCTGAGCGTGTGAGCTGCGGTGTGTGTGGATCTGGTGGATAATGTCTTCCTGAAGTTCGAACCGATGTGTCTTGTGTTGATTCTGGTCGGTGTTTTGTTTTCGAACCGTGTTTGTTGTTGTTCGGTACTGCAGTGGGAATTGGCCAAAGGGTCTTCATCCGAACCAATCTTGGGATGTTTAAGCTCTCGGAGACACGACCCGCGTGAAGGGCGCTCTACAAGCCGTCGTTATGTTAGTGATGGGATCCACAGAATAGGGTGAATGTTTGCTGTGCTTGATGTATTTTTACTGTTGTGGCTAACTGTCTGTTGTTGCTCGTCAGAATGACTTGAGGCTTGAGCGTAGGCCCTAAAGTCTGCTTTTAAAAGTGTTTTGTCCTGTCACGTTTTAAAATCCGACTCTACGTCTTTTAAAATCTCAAGTACACAATGAAACTGGAAACCCCTCGCTCAGAAACAGAAGGGACGGCAATAAGAGTATGGAGAAAGGCACGAGAAGGAGACTGAATGAATAGCTATTTGAGAGAGCCAACGCAGACAGGTGCGCTGGGCCGAATAGCCTCCTCGTGTGCTATCATTTTCTATGGTTCTACATTTTATGCTGAAGAGTGTTTTCCAATAATGAGTGGCAGATATCATCGATTCTATTGAGGTTTTGCCATACACACAGCTTTTAGCAGAATGGATTTTTTTAAACGTCCTTTAGTTTAGGATGGCTGTGCCATTGACTTCTTTTGAATTCTGTTTACTGTTAAAGGTAAACCAATGGAATCTGCTAGTAAATCCCCTGCTTTGTATGAACCTAGGTTTGTATGAAGTGGGATTTACTTAATAATATAATAATCTTAATAATTAATACTTGCGTTTGATATAATGCCTTTTACGTCAGGAGCATGTCTCGAAACACTTCACAGCATATACTGTAAAGTGGAGTGGCTGTTTTTTTTCTTCATCCTCCCAAGTAACAACAAAAGAGGGGGATTTAACTTTTTAAAAATCAGTCTGCCTTGTACATGTAAGTAGTCTGCATGAGAAGAAAAACAGAGCTGTCCACACTTGCTGCTGTGTTGGTAACCTGTACGAAGAGTCGATATATTATGATCTATCTTCCTCCCTAGTTAAATATTACTGTAGATATTGCTGTCTTCCCTAAGGGAAGCTTTGCATGTTGACTTGTGCCGAGCTTTTTCCACTCAGCCCTGTATGTTTGTACATAGGCCTTTTCTCTGCCATTGAAGAACTTAATGACTTATTGCAGTTGAGGATTATAATGGTTCACAATGGTACCAGCACCTGTGGACCATGTGGTGTCAGCCAAGTCTAGAGATGGGCTGCTGAAAACACCTGCAGTGTGTATCTGTCCACAACTATTGCAGATATAAGTCAACTTTCAAGCCACAGTACTTGCATGAGCAATTCCAAGTTTAAGCTTCAAATGAGAGTCCTTTTGATATTGGGGTTTAAAAAAAAATTAAGCTTGGAAAGAGACTATCAAACCACTATCATCTTGCAGTTAACCTTAACAGTGGATCTTGGGTTGGAAAGTAATTATTATCTCAATAAGTTTGTGGAGTCCTGTAGCTCAGTGGTTAGAGCACTCGCTTTGCAAGCGAGAGACCTGAGTTCAATTCCAGGCAGAGGGCGAAACCTTGGGCAAGTTTCCTTACTCCACACAGAGCCTAATAATAATCCCTCCAAAACCAAAAACAATAATAAATTGGTCATTTTCAATCTACGACTCTTTGTGGGACATTGCTGTGCGCAATTGGCTGCCGCGTTCGCCCACAAATATACAGTCAATTCACTTTACAGTGTGTTCTGTGAAGCGCTTTGGGACGTCCTCCCGACGTGAAAAGCGCTATATCAAATGCGAGGATTATTATTATTTCTATTTCACTATTATGCTGTACAGTACTTTGTGTGTTTGAGGTCCAAACAGTATGAATTAGCTGTGATAATGGTTGCATTGAGTACCGAGGGAGAAGTTCGTATAAGTGTAATACTTTGGAGATTGAATACTTGGCCCAGGATGACATTCTAAGTCAAAACAAACTTGTGCTGGGATGTCAGAAATGTTCCGGTTCTTAACTCACTGTTTGTGAGCTCGCTGTCTCCCCAGAAAAAGACAGGACCCTGTATCCTAGCTTTGCTAGTTTGACTGCTTTGCACTGCTATAGATGGTGTGGACGGACAGTTTTACTTGCTTATTCTTTTGTTTAGAGAGTCAAGGCACAGAAATCAATGGCTAAAGAAAGTGAGGGCCGAAAATTTGAACTCACTCAATTCAATTTTCTTCACAAATAAAAAGTGCTTCATTGTAAATAGTTTTGTCTTCTCCCCTGAAGGTGGCAGCTTGCGATTGAAGTATATTGTTCAATGGATACCAAAAAAAAAACCCTGCATTACCTGTCGCAAGTATCAATTATTCTAAGATAGATAGGACAATGAGTATTACTGTATCAACCATGGAGGGGTACACGCAATCTACACATGCGTAATTTCCAGAAAAGTCCCGAGATAATGACTGGCATTGGAAACTCCAGTTCTTTCCCTCCTATTCGTGGGATGCTGAAGTCATTTGTGGTATCCCTATTCCATCCTCAATTGAGATCAAGTTGAAAAAGCGCACCCCAAGGTTTCAACCTGAGACCTTCCTGATCTGTATCGTTTTGTATCAAACCATTTAGCATATTCACCCACCGAGTCATCGGGGAGACCCCCCGATTATAAAATTAAGATGAATTGTGGTTAAAGATTCGCATGTTTTGCATTTTCAACATTAAATCCCGGAAATGTTTCAAAAAAAAATTCAGTGTAATGTTTCGTGAAGGGTGGCCAAACCCAATCTCTGCCACAGTCGCTGTCTACAACTCTCAAGTGAAGAATGGCCATTTAAGTGACATGGTTAGGCCTATTGGAACTATACACCTTTGGGACAAGAGTGGGTAAAATTGTAAGGAAAGAAATGTATGTATTCTTAGTGTAAAATCATTTTTGCAAGTATCGTGATGTGAAAAGCTGATGCTCGTGACGTTTAATATATATGTTATTTTGCTTTCCATTCCATCTTTCCGTGGGCTTTGGATTTTTTTTATTCTTTCCATAATATACGTTGGAAAACATTTAAAGATAGAAAAACATGTGTGTGACGTGTTGTATCGTCATACTGTGATAGGTAGTAAAGTCCTTTGAAGTTACGTTAAAAAAGGTCAAGCCACTCCTCACCATTGTAATCTTTAGAAGCGACTAGAGTCATGGAACCTTTTGAAATGGCTTGATCATTTCTTTAAAAATAGCATGGGGAAGATTTTACTGTTTTGATTATCTGAACTCCATGTAGGATTAGAAATGGGGTGACTGCCTTTAAAATAGCTTTCTCTTTTTTTTGGAAAGGA